CGCCCAGGGCCCGAGCCAAGGGCTCACCTGCGCGCCCAGGGCCCGAGCCAAGGGCTCACCTGCGCGCCCAGGGCTCGAGTCAAGGGCTCACCTGCGCGCCCAGGGCTCTGGAATGTGTGGTCCCCTGTGTATCAGCTTGGCCTTGGCAAGCCACTCCATTCCCAGGGAAACAGGGAAGGCTCAGAGTTAACTAGGGCCAGTGTTGGACACACATTCAAACTTTCTGTAGATAACCTTGGAACCAATATACATAGTTACGGAGCTGGGCCAGCAGCTTGGCCCTCCCGACCCAGTTCTCTTTCTTTCCATTCCATCTTCCCTCTACCCTGCTCCCCTCCTTGGGGTGGACCCCGCAGGCCTGGAATGGATGCTCTGGAGAGTGACCCTACAGGAATCATGGCCGTTTTACTGATTCACTGCCTTCCACTAACTTTGGGTTTGTGTGCTCTCCTTGTACTAATTCTTTGAAGTAAGAGTTAGGGTTGTTATTTGGGGATCTTCTTTTTATGATATACACTTTTATTTCATTCTATTTTGGATTTTTTTGAGATGGAGTCTCATTATGTAGTTCAGGGCTGGTCTTGAACTTACAGCAGTCTTCCTGCTTCAGCCTCCTGACTGCTGGGATTACAGCCATGCACCATCATGTGGCTCATATTCATCTTTTTGAACTTTCACTTATTACAACTTTACCTCCATAAGTCATTGTAGTTTTGTTTTCATTTGTTTTAAGATAGTTTTTAATTTTTCTTTTTAGTTTCTTTGATTTGCTGGCTGTCAGAGAATGTGTTCATTGCCACACATCTGAATTTTGCAGTTTCTTGCAATTTCTAGTTTCATTTCATTGTGGCTGGAAATGTAACATGATATAATTGGAATTTTCTTAAGTTTCTTAAGAACTGTTCTGTGAGCCAATCTGTGCATGTGTGTAATCAGCGCATGCATGTGTTCCCTGTCTGTAAGGCCCAGGACCACTGCATAAGCAGTGTGTCCAAGAAACTGCAGGCTGGCCTGCAGGAGAACTGTGGTTTCCATGGGGCAGCGCCTACCAGGGAGGGCAGCTGTTCCTAACTCACAGATGCCACTGTAAGGCACACTGATCCTGCCCCAAGTCTTGCGAAAACCCTTGGTAGGACTCTGATCTTTACCATACAGTAAGTGGAAGCATAAAAGAAAACACAGAAGCATAGAAAAAAACTTCAAATGAAGTTGTACGCTTACGAGGGAACCAGATACTATATTCAAGTCCTCATACCTTTGATTCAAATAAATACTTATATATTATTAAGGATATACGGATATTTCATAATCTGTAAGTATTTTTCAAATAATTTTAATGTTTTCAGTAACATACTTGCTCAGGACCGCCCCATAACTGCATATAACTTCAGTTTTTAATCTAATCATTAACACTTTCCCAGTATTAGGCACATTTTCTTTTAATAAAGCTTATTGAATTCCCGTCCATTAAAGTCTGTGGCTCCTTTTGGTACTTTTGTTGTAACTGTTTGGTATTAAGCTTTTAAGTATCCGATATTATTGTATTTGCTTAAAGATGTTAATAGAGGGGGCTGCCCCTTAGCTCAGTTCTTTAAGGGGCTGCTTCCACAAAGCAGTCAGGCTCAAGTTGCTGTGGTTCGAGCCCCAGAACTCCAGCCAGCCAACCTGCCCTGAAGGCACTCGGAGCAAAACAAAACAAAAGATGTTAATAGAGTCACAAAACCTTACTGCTTAAAATCACTATAGAAGTTGCGGGAAATATAAGACAAACTTCACTTACCCTTTCTATTCTATATGGTGCAACAATATTATGCTCTTTGATGAAATACACCTGAGGAAAAACATTGATGTTTGTGAAGAATAACCAAAATGTTTAAAAAAAAAAAGTTTCCCTCTAAAGAGTAATGATAAATTAGGACTTTAGGAATTGAATGTTTTAGGTCCTCATTACACAAGCTGTATTTGGAAAAGTACTTGTATGAATGTTCACATAGTTCTAAAGTTCTGATATTAAAATACAACATTAAAAAGAGAATCATCCAGGCAATAAGACAGCAACAATTACTGAACGAGTGACTACCTAAAGGGTTCTAGGAATGCTACTATTCACACCAATTTACTAAGCAGACAAGGGAAGGAAGCTGAGTGCTGGTTTTCTGTAAAATGAATAAAACCAAGTCACTGTCGTATGACATGTCCTCAGTAACATACACTCGTGTTTCTTCCCTAGAGGTGGTGTTGGCATGCGGTGACACCAGGCATCATGCTGTATGTTGAAATGCTGTGGGAAAAGCAACACCATCTACCAGAGTGCCAAGCTTCCTGCGCCTGGCTCCTCACCCATGGTCCATCCTGCTTTAATGGAGGAGCTGCGAGGCTCCCAAAGGCCAGCTGTCCCACTAGGGTGTAAAGGTGAGACTCACCTGTGAGTCACTCAGTAACTGACTTTGCACAGTTATGCGCTCTGCCCTTGCCCTTTCTTTACGGACCGGAGACAATCGCCCTGTGGGTCTCACGTCCTCCTGCGGGCCACGCTGTCTAAAGGGCTGCCCACTGGCATCTTCTCCTGTGCTCCTGACCAAGTTCACCTCACCACACTATGGCAACTCCCCGATGGCCACATAAAGTGCCCATGGTTCCACATCACCCGGGCCCACAGCTGATTCTCCACTCCTCCTCCGCTCTCCTCAGAGATGCTGGCTCTCCCTGAAGTGTTTCCACTCAGCTTCCAGGACATATATCAGCACACCCGTCAGGGTGCTTCTCAGAGTACAGCCAGACAGTGACTACCTCTCACTTTCCTGGCCCAAAGACCTGGGGTTATGAACACTCAAGGGTCTCCTTGCTTTCACTCTTGCTCCCAGGCAGCTTGTCCTCCTGGCCATCATCCAGCGGATTTATAAATCACTTAAGTCACACTGCGCTCCTTCTCTTCCCATGCTCCATTAGCTTTTCACTTTTGCCCTTCATGCTTTGCCTCTGGGCCCTCTGTGACATGTGATGCGTCCTTCACATGGCCTACTCGACTCCACAGCGCAGGAGCACAAACCCTCCCGTACCCCACCTTCCTCAGGCCCTCGCTCAGTCTCTCCAAACCTGGAGCTGGTTGCACGTTACACCTGCACAGCTCACTCCTCTTGCTTCTGGGTCCCACAGAAACTGCCTGGAGTGCACTTGGTGTGGAAACTCAAAGCAATACATGAAGGAGCAGCTTGTGCCCAGGGGCTCACTGATGTCAGGCTGATTCTGAGTTGACTTCAATTAGTGACAATTGCACCTCAGATAAACCTCACTGGCTATGATACTGCCACTGTGCAAAGCATCAGTTGTTTGACTTGAGAGCTCTTCTACGAACTACAAAATGGGTGGGAAGACTTGGGGGGCTTTGTTTCTAAGCCCAAAGTTATTAAAATTGATGGTTTTATAACAGAAACTACTTTCAACTCAAAACCTCTTTCTTCCAAGATATGGGCATTGCAGAATAAGATCATGAAGTAGTAATTTCTACAGAGTGCTCAGGGTGGACCAGAGTCAGACTGACATCATTTAAATGTCCTGCCACTGGCCTCCCATCTCCTCAACAACTGGGACACTACCGGAGAAACTGCCATCCTTCCTCTCAGCCTTCCCAGGCTGCCTGAGATCCCGAGGACAGAAACCACTAGCCCACAGATACCGCATGTTTAATGAACAGTAAGGATCCCACTGGAGACATCTTTTTTAGACACTTACTTCTCAGTGATTAAATTTTAAAACCATTATCTATTCCATGATCTTCATTTGAGCTCTCTACAAATAAATACTTTCATCAAGTGAAAAAAAAAAAAATCACACACATACACATTCATGCAAGTAAGGAAAAATACATTTCTTTTACTAGGTGCTTCTTACCTGACTAAAAGTGAGTGAGATTCCTGGACATTTTGCCCTAAAATACAGATAAAAGTAATCAGTCATAGAAAACCTCTTGGGTACAATAAAATTAAATAGTGAAAATGACATACGTGGCAGGGTGTCCACTGGCTGGACTTTCCCCATGCTTTCCTATCTGTATGCAGTCTCTCAAAGGGATCTGCATAGAATCCAGAGAGAATATTACAAAATAAGCAGAGTACCAATGCACCAAAGCAGGAATGTTTCTGCTCAGATTTATGATGTGTTCACCTTCACGATGGGATGGGATATTGCATCTGGTTCGAAAATCACTGATTTTGAACATATTTTTAAGGAGCCTCTGATTTTCCTAGAAATCAAAGCAAAATATAACAGTTAAAAAACAATCATGATAGCCTTTAACTAGAAAGTTAGTTACTACGGCTAACAGAAACCCGTAGTAACTTTTAGCAGTGCTTTGGGAATACGGAGAAATTCTAGAAAAATGTGTCACATGATAAGCAATTTTAGGGACTATCTGGCTCCTACTACGATATCTAAGAAATTAGTTATAGACTATCATTTTCACACTCAACTAGCAAGAAGGGTATGGCAGGAAGGAAAAAGTACTTTCCTCTTATCTCTGTCTCCCTAAAGGACAGAGAAATCTGCACATATTATGATACCGTTTGGACTCATCAGGCCTCATATGTTCCACATTTGTTACTTTATCTGGGCCTTTCCATTACAGTTAAGGGCAACAGGACCAGAGAAGACAATGAATGCTGAGTTTATCATGTCTCTGGTAAATCGTGTTGGCTGCTGATTCTCTATGCGGGAAGACTATTCATAAAGGAATATGAAAGTTCGAAAGTTGATTAAGTAAAGGGATTTTTTTCTTAAAATCAGAAATATTTAGAGGTTTGAGTTCAGCATACAAAACACTTTTAGCAGTGCTTTGGGAATATGGAGAAATTCTAGAAAAATGTGTCACATGATAAGCAATTTTAGGAACTATCTGGCTCCTACTACGATATCTAAGAAATTAGTTATAGACTATCATTTTCACACTTTCTTGCAACATTTATATGTGTTCAACAACTTGTGGAAAGAAACAGTCCTAAGCATTCTAGAGTTAGTTGTTAGTTTTAACCAATATGTGTCGCCTGTCTGAAGCTAATAAAAATCTATATACTTTATTTTCTTTTATTGATTAGATGACTTTTACCACTGATGAAACCAAGACAACAGCTTGTCATGCACTAGGAATGTAGGTTAGGAGACACCAGAATAGTACTATTACACAGTCACTCTAAGATCAGTTTCCATGCGTACATTTAGTCTAATAGCAGTAGTTTCTAGATCTCAGGTTCTTTACAATCACTTCAGTAACATCTGAACTTCTCTAGCCATCCTTTGGTGTCCCAGTGAATCCTCCTATTCTGTTCTACGCCACCTCAGCTGAAGCAACTGTAATCAACCCTCGAATCCATACATTCAACCAAGTTCAGATCAAAAGTATTTATAAAGCAAAGAATTCTACAGAGTTCTAAAAAGCAAGACTTGAATTTGCCATCTGTCAAGTATGACACTGATTCCATGAAGTTATGTGTAGTCACTGTATTAAGCTTCAAAGGTAACTTAGGGATGATTTACAGTAGATAAGATGATACGCAAACACTACCATTCTGCATATGGGACACAATGTCTGTGGATTTGGGTATCCAAATGTCTGAGGGATAAATCTCCTGTAGGTATTGGGAAAATTTATATATTTGAATTTCTATAATTTATAAAGTCGATTGCTTGAAAACTTAAAGTCTCCAAACCACCACATTAGCCCAGTCTGATAGTCTGAGGTCTCTTTCTTGACTGACTCTCTTGAGTAACACTTGCTATTTTTTTTAATGGCAGAAAATGGTCACTTAAACTTTCTATCTTCAAGACGTATGTACTAAATATATATGCACTAAGTGGATGACAAGTGTCATCATACTAAAGGTCCTGATTGAGTTTATAATTCTTCCTTGAAGGGTTTCAGAAATTTTGTAACATCTATTCATGTCTAGTGAATTGACTTTGTTAACAGCCACACTTACTCAGTAGTAACTTAAAAACATAAACTCGGGTCGTGGCCACTGCACAGTGGAGAGGCACTTGCCCAGCACACGTGAGACCTGGATTCAATCCCAATGGCCTCCCACCACCAAAAAAATCCAACTTACAAAATTTCTAAACACACACTGAAAGACTCAACACGTAAACTGTATGACTAGCATTAGCAGCTTCATTCTTGTTTCATGCATGAGTCTCCTGGAACTCTGATGAATTGGTACAATTTAGGTAAGTGCCTCCGCCCAAGGCCTGCATTTTTAAGGCTTGGTCCCTGGAGCAGCACGTCCCAAGGGTGGCACAGGGAGAGGCCTTCAAGTCACGGGGGTGCACCCTTGATGCAAATGGTGGGACCCCAGGTCCTTTTCCACACTGTCACTTCCTAGCCAAGAGGGAGTAGTCTTGCTCCTGCCATGATGTGTCACTGCTGGCCTAAAAGCAATAGGACTAGCTGTCCATGGATGGAAACCTCTGACACTCGGGCCAAAATAAGCCCATCACTTTCTGTGTTCTGTCCCCGGTATCTGTTATAGTACAGAAAGGTGAGCAGCACATGGGCGGTAGACAGAGTTCCTGACAACACGCCCATCACCCACAAGCACCTTAGAGAGAGCTGATCATAGCGTGCCCTCTCAGTACGCAGCCTGTCATCACCACACCTACAAGACAGGGCTGGAGATACTATTCAGCGGTAGAGCACGTTTGGCAAATAAAAGGTCCTTGTTCCATCCCAGGACCAAAATACTACCATAAAGAGTAATTAAATGTCATCAAGTATCCAGTGTTTCATTTTTACTACTTGATAAATATGTTTTTATAGTTTGCTCCAATCAAAACCCAAAGTCCATATTAAAGTTAGTGAGTAGGTGTTTATCTTCATACCTCTCACTGTAACTTTCTCATACTGTGAGTTCTGCTGAATTGTCTGTATTTCTGTACATCATTCTTCCTTTGTTGTTGTTTTTCTTTTTATTTGATACAAGATCTCAATATACAGCTTGGACTCAGAGTGATCCTCCTGTCTCAGCCTCCCCAGTGGTGGGATTACAGGCATGCACCACCACGCCTGGCAGGGCCAGCATGGTGTGCCCAGGGCAGGGCTGGCACGGAGCGCAGTACCAGGGACGAACCTGGGTCCTTGTGCTTGCTAGGCAGGCACGCCTAGACCACTGAGCTATCTCCCAGCCCCATGCTTCCTTCAAATTACCACCAAGATTAAAGACTTGATCAGATTCTGGTTTGATCTTCTGACAAAAATACTTCTGAGGAGACATATGTGCTATCTTCCCATCAGCAGGCACCAGAGGGTTCTGGTGATATCAGTCTTCATATAGTCATTGTAAGATATTTTAGCAGCTTTTCACCTAATGGGTTTAGCAACCACTGAAGACGACTGTCCAGATTAGAGGTTGCAAAATTCTTTCTGTGAAAAGCCAATTAGTGTCTTTGGTTTTGCAGGCCATGTGGTGACTATGATAACTATTCATCTCTCCTGCTCTACGGGAAGTCAGTCACGTGGCAATACGCAAATCAAATGGGTGTGGCTGTTTTTAATAAACTTGTTTTAGTTTATTAGTACATGTGTGAAGTACAAGTTGTTTCTGTACTTGTACCTAACACATCTCTACTCCTTTTCTCAGCACCTTCTCCCTCCCTCCCTCCCTGAGTCTCCCGCCACTCATCTCTTGATCCCTTTCCTTTCTGGGAGGCACAAATGGGTGCAGTACACAACCATTGTGCCCCTGGTGGGCTGGTGCGTGGACACAGCACAGCACAGCTCGGCTCCTCTCCCCTCCCTTTTCCCTCCACCCACCACTAGATCCCCTTCTCATGTGAGAAATGTCTGTCCCCCACTTGATGTTATCTAGCTTTCTCGCTATATAATCTGAGTTCCTCACATGAGGGGAACTATGTGACGTAGGAGCTTCTGTGTCTGCAGATTTCACAACACTGTGATCTCTACGTGCATCCACTGGATTGTGTTCTTTCTAAAATGTATTTCTTCCTATAAGTGAAAACAAGTATTTTGATAACATATATAGTCTTTAGTGTCTGTTTTACACTTCAACTTGTTCGGAATTTACATGTGACAAACTAATCTCATTTACTGTAAATATTTCATTGTCAATAAAACTTTACTGACAAAAAACAAATGACAGGTCAGATTTGGCCAAAAAGCTGTAGTGTGCTAAGCCCTAGTAGAGATCTGTTATTTTACTAGGGATTAAAATTTTGACTCAGTGGCTCAGTGGAATAAGCGCTTTCCTGGCAACCACAAGGGCCTGAGTTCAATCCCTGGTTCTGGAAAAAAATAAAATAAAATAAAATTTTGACATTCCTTCTATATTGATTAGCTAGAATTTGTTACTTTACTTATCAGCAATTTGGAGGCCCTAAAGTACAATTTTTACAAGGAAAGCAAAAAACTTCAATAACCACTTTTGTGTATAGCTTCAAAGATAAAATTCAAAGGAACAGCCTTTTTATTATACTAAGTAGTAGTCATGAAACAGGAAGAAGTCGGATTTTACTTCAAATCCAAAACTGGGTGATTTATTTATTTTGAAAGTGTTGATTTCATATCAGTCTTGCGACTTACAATTATTACTCTGTAGTACCACAACCCTCATGATTCAGAGCACAGTACATGCATAACCACAGAAGGGATAAAAGAACAAAAAAGCGAGAGAGCATAAAGCCCTTCCAGCAATCTCAGAGGTCTTAAAACCCCTTTTAGCTTTAAAAATACCATGAGAGCAACTTATAAGCCCACCCTTCCCAAGTGCCTAATAAGAAAGAAGACAGAAAAGTCCCACCAAGCCGGCATCCGACGGCACACTGTCACACAGGTCTGCCTGCCTACCTTTCATCGCAGCTTCCCCTGTGCTGAATGTGATCAGCTGAGTGCTGTTCAAAGTAGTATTCCTCTAAGTTAAGCAGCAACAAGGAAAACCTGGATATTGAGGGAAAAAAGGAAACATTTTTAGTCCTTAGAAAGTATAAGGGCTGGGAGATGGCTCAGTGGAATAAGTTCTTCCCTGGCAAGCACAAGGGCCTGAGTTCAATCCCTTGAATTCAATCCCCAGTTCCACCAAAAAGAAAGTATAAGCAGGCCCAATTTTCAAGATGTTTGATCGCACAGTGTTCTCCCACTCATTAACTTAAGAAGCGCCGCGAAGCACACAACTGCCATGGGCCAGGCCTCTTCCCTGCACGTTCAGTGGAGAGCGAGTGTTCTGACTATCTGCCTTGCAGGTCAAGTATCTACTACGTCAAAGCCAAAATGGTTCAGCGAGTGGATAACTGATTCCTTCACAAAAACCCCACTTGTATAAAATTTAACTTCTTGTCTGAAAAAGCATGGTGTTCTCCCTGCTGTGGAATTCTATTTTTACCTGTTTGCCTGACTGAACACACCAGCTTTCCCACCCCTTCCCTGTCAACCTCCTGTCTCACAGTGCTTTGAATTTGTCTTGTACTCCTAAAAGGCCAGACACCTCTAGGAGGTAAGTACCTAGACAGCCCCTGTCACAACCAATCAATGCTTTGTACACAATGGTGTTTAACAGGTAAAACCAGAAAACAGAGTGGCATGGGGTTGGATTATAACCCCTTAATCCTTTTATACTTTAAAAAAAAAGGTTCAGTCGTATGTCTACAGAAACAAATATATGGCAAATATGTGAAGATAGGTGTATATCATTTCATGGTAAGGATGAGGAAACACATGGCATCTGGAGTTTATGGAGGAAAAACTATAGGACTTGGCCCAGCAAGGTGGCACATGTTGCAATCTCAGCACTTAGGAGGCTGAGGTAAGAGGACTGCCATGAGTCTGAGGCCAACCTGGGCTACATACTGAGTCCAAGGCCGAGCTGGACTAAATAGCATATGACTTGAAATGGATCTTGAAGTTCTGGAGTGTCAGAGGAAGACAGATTAAATGTGGTAGATTATACTTAGATGCTTTTTTTTTTTGGAGACAGGGTCTTGCTATGTAGTTTGGGGTGGTCTTGAACTGGTGGCGAACCTCCTTCCTCAGCCTCCAAAGGGCTGGGATTATAGCCATGTGCCGCTACATCCAGCTAAACAATATACGTTTATTTTGCTTCCTTCTGAAACACCACTGATATATGAATAGAAGCATTTTTAAAATGCTAAAACCCAAAGATCAAAGCAACTTAGACATCAAAGCACGGAAGGGAGTGTAGGCAAGTTTGCGGAAGGTGGAAAGCAGCAGGAACGTGCACAGGTCAGACATGAGAATATCAGATACCTCGGGGAACGAATGAGCCATTCAGGAGAGAACCATCATAAGTCACAGGGCTTCCAAAAAGTCCAGAAATAGGCATCAGGGACCAAGATGACCCTTAAGTATGAAGTGACAACCCAAGATCAACAGCCTCTGACATGAAAGAACAAGGCCACAACAAGCAGGAAAATAAAGCCTGAAGGACTAGAGATAATGCAGAGAAAAGGATTGGCCAACAGACTCTAATATTCTTATGAAGGAGAAAGTTATCTACATGACAGAAGAGACTTCTCATTAGAACAATCTGACCCAAAGAGTTATAACTCATAAAAAAATTATAACTAATGATAACAAGAACCATTTTTAATACCCTAACAGGTAGTTTTTATTGACTTGTCTTACATTTAGTCTAGGAGCAAGAATTAGTCATAAGTTGGGTTCAATAACTAATACCAAAACATAAGAAAAAGAATCAGTTGTAAGTTAAAACTGCCAGAACACAGCTAAAATGTTCAATATTTAATTTGAATTTTAATATAATTATAAGACTTAGGACTGCAAGGAATAGTCTTCTCATGCATGAGCTCATTTCAGGAAGGTGAAAGCCAGGGAGATACTAACTGCCTTCTCCTTAGGTTTAACTTGTATTTGAATGACTGACAAGCCTGGTCTTGGGCTGGAGTTGTACAATCCTTTCTTTTTGCTGATCTCCCTACTTTCCTCCTGCCTTCCCTCTAGGGAGGAAAAATAAATATTCATCAATAAGAAAATGTCATAATTTTATGGCTGTGAAGCACAAGTCAAAATCAGTGACATCTAGTTCTTCCAAATATTAAAATACACCCACATCAATGTGAATTAAAGTCATCCTTTTGGTAAACAAATTAATTATAGCTTCATTAATTTATATTCTGCAAGAAATGTATAACACCTAGAGAAGTTAATGAGTTAAAGAACTTTTCTGAGTCTTGTTTCTCTCTTAACTATAAAGTTTTAAAACTTTTTCTATGTAAAAATTATTACATTTAATTTTGTGGGTTTTACAAACTGTATTATACGGAGTAAAAGAGTCTACGCTTTAAAAAATTAAAATCAATTTTGCCATTTGATGCTTTCATCTATTAATACTGTATCAGGCTGCAATTTTTTTCTTTAGGAAGCTGCTGACCCTGAGCCTACACATTCCTAGTTCAATCCAATCTTCTTGAAAGGGTGTAGTCATTCTCTGTAGGATAAATTTACTCACTAAACAAGTCAGCTTCACTAAGAAAATGTTATTCTCTCTTTATGTCACCTGAATTTCAAAGCACATTTATAAGACTCTTACGATAGCTCTACTCCAAGTATCCCTCGGTGATAACTACATTCACAGCCCCTCCAAAGTTACTCAACACTCTGCTGATGAGAAGTGTTCGCAGGAAGTTCACAAGGCCTGGCCAAGTCAATCCTGCCTCTAGGCTACTGATATTAAAAAAGGAGGGAGGGGAGAGGCGCTGAGGTGTCCCACCATGGTGCAGGGCCATGGGCAAGACGCACACACAGGTGCCAGGCAACTGCCATCTGCCCTCTGAAACTCCACACCATCATCTTCTTTTTTTTTTTTTTTT